CACACACACACACACACACACACACACACACACACGAACACTTATTACTTCCCGGAGCACATGAGCATAAACACACCACAAAAGAAACAATACAGGGAACCAAAGGAAACATAAGCTAAAAAGTATAGGATCCTCATTGGGGTAGGTGGGGATCAAGCTGAAGCTGTATGTTACCAAATCAAGAAAAATTGGAATTTAAAAAAACACAATTTAAAAAATATTGTAGCCTCCACAAAAGAGACTAAGAGAAGTAAAGAAAATTAATAAACTCCCTCAGAAGTTTGGAAAAACTCAGGGATGGCAAAACAAAAGAAAAGAAAAAGTAGAAAAACTAAACAACTCCACAAGTAATAATCTGTGCCAATAATATGGAGTTCAAATGCAGGAAACTGTAGAACATGGCTTTCTGGCTCCCAGGGTCACACCATCAGGACATTATGGTTTGGATTTGAACTGTCTCCCACAGTTTGAAACAAGTTTGAAACACTTGTTTCCCAGCTACTAGTGCTGTGAGGAGGGGCCTTAAGGAAGCTTCAGTAGGTGGCACCCCAGGTGGGAAAAGTGTATCACCATACTTGGTGGTTACAGCCCAGATCCGGGGTTCATCTCACTTTTTCTGAATACTGGTCCACCATGATGTGATTAGGCCCCTCCTTGAGCTGCCATTGCCATAAGCACATCTCTTCCCACTGCCATAGCTACCCGGATACAAAGGGCTCAAACCATAAGCCAAAATAAATCTTTCCTCCCTTGTTTCTGTCAGTTATTCTGGTCACAACAATGCAAAATTAACTAATAGAATGAAAAAAAAAACACAATTATGGAATACTGAACTAATAGAACTAATAGTTCTGTAGTAAATATAGAGGTAATTGGACTTTTTAAACTTCCAAAGATGAGTGAAATAAAGGGGAAAAATGACTACCAAGGAGTTTGAATTCAGAATGGCACTGGACCTGACACAAACTTCAAGTGAAAAGTCAAAAGGTCAAGGAAAATATTTCCCACCCAAATATGAAAAACCCACTTTTCCCATGCTTTCCCCATAAATCTATCAAAATGTGAATGTAAATTTAAAAGAATAATATGACATTCAGGACAGCAAATCAACAAAAAAAAAAAAAAAAACCAAAAAAAAAAAAAAAAAAAAAAAAAAAAAAAAAATCCCCAAGGATATTCCCATAGATCCCTGAACCACAATCCCGGAAAGTAACCAGACTACACAGAAGCCAAATATATAGGTTCTCAGGAATTATCCGAGGTGGTGGAAAGTACAAAGAAGAACCCTGCATAATCCTTCACACATTTAGAGATAAATCAGAAACAAGAATGGAAACAACAAAACAACAGGGGATGTGGTTAATTCCAGGAAATGGATAGCATAAGAAAAGAAAAATCGTAATACACTGCAAGATTTGGTTAGGAGAAATACATAGCAGTCATAGGAATATTATACCATCTACATGGGTAAAATCATTATGTCAATATTAGAAAGGCAAGAAACTAAAAGTGTTAAAACTTCAACTTGCACTGACAGACATGTACAGAGAGTTACAAAGTGGGGCATAAACCAGTTGAAAACCAAACAAGCCCCTAGTGATACAGACATACCTATGGAAACAGCACAGAGTGGGGGTTCTCAAAAGTCCAGGGAAGGCAAAAGGTCCCTCTTCACTGATTAGAACTGTGAAATGACTGCATATACTACATTGCTAAAGATAGAAAATGAATTTGCAAAGAAGAAAGTGTGTACTAGGATGATAGGATGCTCCAAATGTTGATTGAAAGCAGCTAATATTTAGCAGTCGTCTTTTCCTTTTATTTGTTAAAAACAACAACAACAAAAAAAAAGAAAACTGGTACTTATACGACAATCCAAAGATGCACTGCATTTTGAAAAGCCAGTGCGCTACACACAAAAGACAAAACTTTAAGTCTACGGATGTATACCTGGGCACCACTACTCATACTGTAACTGAAAAACAGCAAAAATACACATAGTGCACAAATACATCTTTACATTATGATGTTAAAATAAAAACTAGGAAGCACATTGTGAATAAGGAAACAGACTAGCTAGCTGTTACATAATTCAGTATTATGCAAATAATAAAAAGATAATTTAAAACACAACAGAACTTGAAAAGGATTACCATGAAAACAAAACTCTAAAATTAATTAACTAGTTAATTAATAAAGTTCTAGGGTCTCTGGAAAAAGCCATGCTAACAGGCAAGCAACTACAGTGAGAGGGCATTGGGCAGGATGGAAGTAGATCACAGTTAGGTCAGGTGACAAGAGCACTGCATGAACTACTGTTATTAAGGTTAAAAAAAAAAAAAAACAGATTACTTAACGAACTATGAATCTACGCAAATGGTTCTACTAATTGGGCGTATTTGATAATAATGAAGATGCTCAATGGGCGCTAATCCCTGAGCTCTCTTTATCCATCAGTTGAGATTTATTTTAAGGGATGGCAATCTCTTTTTACTAGTTGTACTAAAGCATCAGCAGACACAAAAGCCATTGAAAAGAGTCACATATTTGAATAACTGAGCCAATGCCGATTGTTCAAAGAGTCTGACAGTTCCATAATACATCAATGTGTTTACTCAAGCATGAAAAGCTTACTTTGTCTTCCAAGAAAGGCATAATAGCAGCACTACAAAAGCCATCACCAAACCCATGCATCCAGGGCCCGTCTGTATGTAACATACAAGAAATCAGGTAAATTAGATACTCAGGTCTGCAGCAAATAACAAGAATGATAACCTATAGATCTCCATGTCATAACAAGCAAGCAAATTTAGAGTTTTGTTCCACAGGTTGATCGCATCCTCGCCTACAGCCTGTTCCAAATGCTGCTTTAGTCAACACGGGGAGGTACACACTAGCTGCAAAAACACAGTATGCTATGATCTCAAAAGGAACCCACTAACTCCTCAGCCCTTCCCCACATTAGCCCGAAGGGTCTAAGCAGGTGTTCAAATGTCCTAAATCACCTACTTCTCTTATAAAACTGAGGAGATGTCAAACTATATCACATCACAAATTTGCAGCTTCCTTACACAGTCAGAGAAAGAATTCATAAGCTATAAACCCTTCTGTCTTGTTTCTGAGATCAGCCAGGGCACACGAAGAACAATTTGTGTAGCTCTTCTGGCAGGGTGCCTGAGCCCTGAGCAGTCATATGACAGAACACACAGCAACACTATTCTTCAAATCTACATGTTTGATTACAGCTCACTGACCCACGCAGAGCACAGTCTGTGCAATTATATTCAGAGAAACCCCAATTGCCCTGGGTGGTTACACGGCACCGGGCTTCTTATAGCCACTATTGTTTTTTTAACAGATAGTGAGCCTTGCATTCAACAAAACAAAATGCCATTCCCATTCTCCATCTGGCAAGGCCTTTGCCCTTTTGGTACTATTAGTCCTTTTCTGCATTTGAGAAAGGGGCAAAGGAGATCTGAATTCTAGAGGGATGCACCCTTTCATGTTACTACATGGCCAACCACCCATCAGTTGTACCCAAGTAGCCCAAATTCCTCTATAAAGTAGAGGAGAACCACCATCATGGACTCCCACGTGGAACAGTGTCAAGAATGCCACAAACCTCTGAAAAACTGTGACTGAGCTACAGTGACGCCCATTTCCATTTTGTAGGCATTCTAATCCTTGACCAAAATCTTTTACCTTTTTGTATTTTATATAACTTAAATATAATCCTTACCCTCTCCTCATTAACGTGGGCTGTCTTTCTGATCAACTACCTACACAGATACTGTAAACCAAAAGCATTTCCTACAAAAGTCAGGAACAAGAAAAAGGTGCCCACTATCACCAGTCTTATTCAACATAGTGCCGGAAGACTTCAATCAAAGACACAGAAACAAAGGGGATAGATAGAAACAGGATGGGCTACAGTGAAAGCATCCCTACTTGTAGATGACATGGAGAAAAAAGATAGAGAAAAAAAAAAACCTAAATACTCCACCAGCAAACTCGTAAGACACCTTCATAAATG